TAATGAAAATAATTGTTATGTTCTGAAGGAAATTACCTTATTTGTCAGCTGGTGGATTTTCTCCAGCCCAAACCAGAAGTTTCCAGACAGGTCTCCGAACCCATTTTTGTAGTCCACCCAGCCCCGGAAAAAGTCCACGTCGGCCGAGGTACGCCTCTGTAGACAAGACAGAACATTATGAAACTTTGTAAGGCATGTTATCATGAAATATGCTAATTAAAACACTCTATTTGTTGGAAATAAACTTGATCTTTTAAAGATAATAATGTAACTTTTGATTTCTTTTCAAAATTTTAATTATAATTTTTCAACGTTATTAAAATGTATAACCTTTGGTTTCCAGGCACACATAAAGTTTTATTTTTTGTCGTGAAATTACAGTAAATCTTCATTCCAGTGTGTTCAGAAGGTATTTTAAAAAACACAATGCTATAATTTAGAGTATGCGATGCGATTCTCTAATTAAGCGTTACTAAATTGCAGAAACATTTTAAAAATACAACAATATTATGTGGGGTATCTTCGTGAAATCAGGTGCTCGTCAAAATAGTGAAATTGAAGAACATTTTCGTTTTGTTTGTTTTTTTCTTTGTTTTTTTCGGGGGGTTTTGGGGTTCAACACCTTTCGTGTCCATATAAAAACACTTTTCCATATGTGAATTTCACAGAAAATGGTTGATTAAAGGCACATAATAGGTTTTCAAGGACTCTAAAGCTATTGAAATTGTCAAACTTTGGCGCCCGTTTCTCGCTAATTCTAACACTGAAACCAGGCGACCCTTCTTCCTTCATCTTGACTTTTATTCAAGATAGATGGGTATTTTTTCATAGAAAGCAACACAAATAAACATGCTTTAAGATTATACCAGTAACTCCAAATCCCCAAAAATTGACGAGCGCCTGATTCCACCGCGTCTTGACACATATGCCCTAGCGAGGTAATACTTGCACCATACGTAGACTTATTATATATACTGTCTGGGAAGTCACAGAACAAACAGAATGTTCCGCCTCTTGTATCAGTCTGTGGTAGAGTAGAACGTTATCTCACCTGGACCACGATCCAGCCTCCGTTGTCTGTCTCAGTGTCACAGACGACTTGCATGCCGTTATAAAGGGTAACCACTGGCCGGGGCGCTTGAATCGTGACGTCAGCACACGTATTGGGCTGGGGAAAAAAATCCACAGAGAAAGAGTTTGATGCACGGCTGTAGAAAATGTCGAGGGGAAGTTGGTTTGGGGTTACACAACGCTAGTGGTGCTGAAAAACATCCGTCAGTGGGGCAGGCAATTTCTCAAGTTATCACTCAGTCAGTTTTCTTGTTTATCACTAAGTCACTCAGTCAGTTTTCTTGTTAATCACTCTGTCAGTTTGCCAGTTTATGATTTACTCAATTTCAAAGTTTTTCAATGTCATAGGTAGATAGATAGATAGATAGATAGATAGATAGATAGATAGATAGATAGATAGATAGATAGATAGATAGATAGATAGATAGATAGATAGATAGATAGATAGATAGATAGTCAGACAGACAGACAGAGAGACAGACAGACAGACAGACAGATAGAGAGAGAAAGACACAGTCAGAAAGAAAAAGAGAGAGGTGGAGAGATATAGATAGATAGATAGAGAGAGAGAGAGAGAGAGAGAGAGAGAGAGAGAGAGAGAGAGAGAGAGAGAGAGAGAGAGAGAGAGAGAGAGAGAGAGAGAGAGAGAGAGAGAGAGAATTGTGGAAGAGAGGCGTGTTGAGAATCATAAATGAATATCCATTGTTGAATATAAAAGGAGACTGGTCCTTCATGCACTGATAAAGGAATAATATATTATGTTCGTGTAATTTTTGGATTAAAAACTCCTAAGTAAAAGTTTGCTCACCAGTATTAATTAAAAGTAAAGTAAAGTAAAGTTATTCCAGCATCCGATCCGGACATTGGGGATTGCCCTGTTAGTGAGACAACTTCCTGCGCTTACAGAATATCGTGGTAGGGTGGCCAGTTCCTTTCCGCCTTTACTTCCCCAACTCGAAGTCAGGTAGGCCTACTCATTACTCTGCTGGGTGGTCTGGAAGGGGCGAAAAAAATTCGTGGCCGAACCAGGGCTCGAACCCGGACTTTCCGCTTGGGAGACGAGCGCACTAACTGCTCCGCCAAAGCACCCTCTTCGCCAATATGCGACGTCAAAAACTAAGAGAGATTCTTACCTGCACCTGACTCTTCTTGGTGCTCACCCTGTGCTCATAACCCGCTTTAAGTGCCTCAATCATCGCCGTGACGTTGCTGAGAATGCGTTCTTCCAGTTGTACAAACTTCATTTCATTTTGTTCAAAAGTCGCTGTGACATTACCGAGAATGCGTTCTTCCAGTTGTGATAACTTCAGTTCATTTTGTTCAAAAGTCGCTGTGACGTTGCCAAGAATGCGTCCTTCCAGTTGTACAGACGCTAGTTTGTTCTGCTCCATGATCGTCTCCACATTTTCCAGAATCTGGCGTTTCTGGGACAGCATCTGATGTGGACACTCCCTCTTGTTCTGGTCTACTGTGTGGCTCAGGACCTGGAAAGTGACAGCTCTCATAAGAGTTTTGAAGATTATGGTAAAAGTATAGTATATCCCCCAACTCACGCCACGCCTCTACATATAACGACAATCAGAGAAAATTTCCTATTCCCGAGAGACATGTCTGCTTCCCACTGTGACCCCTAGGCTCACCCGGATATCGTGCAATAGATCAAATGTGAGACAACGTGGTGGAATCAGGCTCTCGTCAATTTTTGGGCATATTGAGTTATTGGTATCGTCACAAAGCTTGTTCATTTGTCTTGCTTTCAATGAAAAAATTACCCTTCCTTTTTCAGTAGAAGTGGAGATATTTTGGATTGAAGGAGGTGGAGGGTCACCTTGTTTAAGAGGTAAAATTAGTGAGAAAATGGCCGCCAAAGCTTGGTAAATTCCAAAGCTGGAGAGTCCATGAAAACTGTAAATTTATATTTTTTGTGCATTTAATCAAAATTTTCGGGTAAAATCCTCCAAGGAATGTGTTTGTAAATGGACATAAAAGGTGTTGAGCCCAAAAACAAAAATTTGAAAAAAATTGCTAAGCAGGGAGAAAACTGCTGTTTTCTTCGATTTTATTATTATGACGAAAGCAGCCTGATTCCACCACGGTGCCTCACAAATAGTTCAAGAAGGTGGGTGACTATGGCAGGGGGGGGGGGGGGGGGGGGCGTTGAGGCTTTTTACCAAAATTAGCAATCTTTTTTGCTTCATAACATTCTTTGGCGGAACAACATCAATAACGGGACAAAAGTGAAGCCTGTAGGTGTTGTCAGTCGCCTGGTGAGTAATTGTTTTTTAGACTCCCTTGGCTTTATGCATCAACCTCGCAATATCCCTCTCTTCTGTGGCGGAATGGAAGATCGTAATAGTATGGGTTCTTTCTTCTTTCAAGACTGCAATTTTACTGGCCCGAGAGAAGGTTTCCAATTTTGATGCGCATTTTAGTAGAGAACCGAGCCAATAAAAACATCTCCTCCTAGTCCTCCTTTTACTTCTCCTCCTCCTCCTCCTCCTCCTCCTCCTCCTCCTCCTCCTCCTCCTCCTCCTCCTCCTCCTCCTCCCCTCCTCCTCCTTTTCCTTCTCCTTTTTCTTCTTCTTCTTCTTCTTCTTCTTCTTCTTCTTCTTCTTCTTCTTCTTCTTCTTCTTCTTCTTCTTCTTCTTCTTCTTCTTCTTCTTCTATCATTTTGTCCTACCTTCACTAGAAACACTGAGATCATAGCTTGCCTCTTTAAATAACATATAATAACTTTCCAGCTCAGCGAAAGTGGGAGAAATATGAGCAGAATGAAATGTTTGCTCGCTCTCTTACTACTTAGATGGTCATTCCTTCTGGACATCATACAATTATATATTAAAAATGATAATAATAATAATAATAATAATAATAATAATAATAATAATAATAATAATAATAATAATAATAATAATAATAATAATAATAATAATAAAAATTATAATAATAATATTAATAATAATATTTAAAAAATAAATAAATAAATAAATAAATAAAATAAAAATAAAATAATAATAATAATAATAATAATAATAATAATAATAATAATAATAATAATAATAATAATGATGATAATGACAATAATTCGTCGATCATAGGCTGAGCATGACTTTTAACGTCCAAATAGAAGGGATAAGTCATAGATGTTGCTGGTGACCGCAGTGGCTACTGTCTGTTGTACGCCAGTATAATGATATAGACAAGTAAACATCCGCAGAGACGTGGCTCAAGGTACGCCTAATGATTCTTTTCCCTCCCTCGCCAGTATCAAACCTCACCGCTGTCAACACTGGCCCTGTGGACAAGGTCAAGGACAAACATAGCGTGGAAGATGACGTCAGGTTACGAGGTTCCTTTTCTTGGCTTCTCAATCTTACACAAACCTGGGATGGAAATAGAGGGTGGTGGAAGGGGGGGGGGGTGCTTTGGTGGGGGAAAGATTTTGCTGCTCTTTCTGGAAAAGACAATATTTCCTGGCAAATATTAATTACTCCTCAATATTAGGGAACAATTCTATGAGACAGCTAGACAAGCCAGTGGGAACAATACTATGAGACAGCTAGACAAGCCAGTAGGAACAATACTATGAGACAGCTAGACAAGCCAGTAGGAACAATACTATGAGACAGCTAGACAAGCCAGTGGGAACAATACTATGAGACAGCTAGACAAGCCAGTGGGAACAATACTATGAGACAGCTAGACAAGCCAGTAGGAACAATACTATGAGACAGCTAGACAAGCCAGTAGGAACAATACTATGAGACAGCTAGACAAGCCAGTAGGAACAATACTATGAGACAGCTAGACAAGCCAGTAGGAACAATACTATGAGACAGCTAGACAAGCCAGTGGGAACAATTCTATGAGACAGCTAGACAAGCCAGTGGGAACAATTCTATGAGACAGCTAGACAAGCCAGTGGGAACAATACTATGAGACAGCTAGACAAGCCAGTAGGAACAATACTATGAGACAGCTAGACAAGCCAGTGGGAACAATACTATGAGACAGCTAGACAAGCCAGTGGGAACAATACTATGAGACAGCTAGACAAGCCAGTAGGAACAATACTATGAGACAGCTAGACAAGCCAGTGGGAACAATACTATGAGACAGCTAGACAAGCCAGTGGGAACAATACTATGAGACAGCTAGACAAGCCAGTAGGAACAATACTATGAGACAGCTAGACAAGCCAGTGGGAACAATTCTATGAGACAGCTAGACAAGCCAGTAGGAACAATACTATGAGACAGCTACGGCCGCAGGGCACAACAACAACGACAATAACGACAACAACTAGAATAGCAACAACAACAACAACAACAACAACAACACTACCACCACTACCACCACCACCACCAACAACAATGACAACAACAACAACAACAATAGAGATTCTCACCTGTAGCTGGCTCTTCCACTCGCTCTCAAAACTCTCTCGCAGAGATTCGACGGTCGCGGTGACGTTTTGTAGAAGGTTCTCTTTTTGCTGCACACACTGTCTCTTGCCTTCTTCCGCCGTGGTTGTCACGTGCTCCAGAATGGTTTCCCTCTGAGATCGCAGTCGCTGGAGGTAATCGTTCTTGTTCTCCTCCACAATGCTGCTAAGGATCTGCAGTGTGACGTCACTCTTACGGAATATGAACGTGGGTAGGCTTTTTTGCCAGTTGACACCCTCCCAGGACGTCAGGCTAATTACGTCACACCTGAATGTGCCTATGGTATCGTCAGTCGCCACGGGCCACGTGATCCGCAGAAAGCTGTTTACAGTGAGGGTCTTGTTGGCCACAGCGAGCACACCCTTACGTTTTGGCCGTACTTCCGTGTCGCAATCGCGGATCTCTGCAAAACTGTTCCACCCAGCATGGTCTTTTTTCAGCACTCTTATCATTACAACCTCAGAATTTTCCGGATGGGGGAAGTTGTCGAGACATTCTAGGGAAACATTTCTTGTTTTCCCTACTTCCACTTGGTCTGTTGTTACATTGAGTACCAGTGCCTGGGAAGACAGCAGCACCGCTGCTGCCAAAAGCACGTAACTAGACATCATGTTGAGGGCCATTGTCAGGACACAACGTGGTATTTGGGTGCCAAAGATCTCCGCGCGACTTTTCCTAGAAGTCTGCAGGGCATATTGAGAGAAAAAAAGAACACTCAGCTTTGGATAATTTTTTTGGGAATGTATATTTTAAAAAAATAATTCTAAGGATGTCATAACTAGCCAATATTTTTTTGGTCAACACTATAGTCGACGCCAGCCACAACTGTCCGGACGGGAGGGGGGGGGGTGAAAGGGGGGCGTTGTCGTCTGCGCACATTTTAGTCCCCAAAGTGCTGAAAAACAGTGATACTCATTTCCCTTTTTCTGTGGATTCTCAGAATCACCAACAAAGCTACACCTGCTCTTTTACAGGGAATCCACCCATGATCCACAAGCCGCTTATTGCAGGAACGTCCAGAACTTTGGACGGTTCAAAGGGTGACTCACACTTGGGAAAAGACGTTGGAAATTAACAAAAAAAACTTCGGCCTGTCCACTCTGGCCGATATGGGTGCCTTGTGAGAGAGATATTGATTACATTCTATTATTGTTCAAACCAAAGTATTCACTGGCATAAGCTCATCGCTACTGAATATGAGTAGGTTACACTGTGTGTGGAATTGCATATGCTCAACGGCATCAAATATTTTATTTTTATGCTTTGTTTTTTGGTAGATCTAAATGTTTTACGGCGCTCGCAAGTGCATAAGGTCATATGAGCGCGTGGGACACATTAAACATTTTCAGTTGGTAGGAAATTTTGAATTTTGCCCGGGTGGCGGTCGAAGCCGACTCTTATCGATTTTGGACCACCAAGAGATCTTTAACGTACGCAACTTGCACCCTGGACCTCTCGAGATTTTTCACTCTTAGCCGAGAAGGCCAGGTGTTAGATCTTACCTACCATTAGATCATGGGTGTGGCTGAAAGACAGCAGTAAGAAGGAACCAAGGAGCAACAGTAGTCGAAAGGTTGCAGAAAGAGGAGCCCAGAGGAGGGGCAAAGGAGGTGAGGGGGTGGGGGGGGGGCAGAAAGTGGAGACGAAAGCAGAAGACAGAACATTGTCTGACAGCAGGAAAGGAGGTGAAATGAGAAACTTTTAGAGAAGAAAATTTTCCGTCGCTTTTTGGATTCGAACGCGGAACCCATTGAATAAAAGGTGAACGGCTTAACCTCTCGACCACGACATCCCCCTAAAATAAGTTCGGAATGACAGCTTCAAACTAACTATAGCAGAACTTTTTACCAATTTCACTTATCATTGATCAGGAGATCGTGATTATGCACGGCTAAAGTTTTACCTCTAAAAAGTGTCATTGGGGAGCTGTGACGTAGGCCACATAGTGTGCAAAATGTGTTGCGTGTGAGAAGTGGGAACTGCTGTGAACACTTCCATTAACATTTTCCGCGCGACGGAGAGTTGTAGCATTATATAGATATCTATTTACGGAGCAAAGTTTTTGAGTCTAGCCTCGATTGTTGTGAAAAAAGATATGATTAAGTTGAGACAAATTGATACAATTTGCTGTGCAAAGTGTGGATGGCATTGATTCTCCAGTTTAAGAGAAGTTTGAGGATAGGTTGTGCCACGAATGTTTAGGGCAATGTAAGTGAGGGTAAAAGGTCCAGATTGTATTACTGAAAGTTGCGAAGATTTTTTTTGGGGTACCAAAAGTGAAACAGTGATCTACAAAAAAATGAGAAACTTCATCTCTTCAGATATATTTTCATACGTCATACGTCTACCAATAGTCCTGCCAACACATACCATAGAAAATGGTGTCATTTCTGCAAGTAATTTTGTTGTTGATGATAATAACAACAACTATAATAACAACAACAATGACGACGACAACAACAACAACAAAAACGACGACAACAACAACAACAATGACAACAACAACGAG